GGATGCAGAGAGGTGGGGGTAGGGGGGGAGCATGATAGGAGGAACAGAGGGGATGGAGCTGGGGTGGTGAGGCCAGCAATGCCCCTCCCCCAGCCCTGCTCCATGGAGGCAGTGGCAGTAGCAGTGCAGGGTGGTAGCAGCATGGTGCTGGCTTCACCCCCCAACCCCTGTCCCCACCATCCCTGCTCTGTCCCCACCATCATTCTCGACAGGCAATTTGCTAGTATATTATATAGGCTGTGGCAATGCACTTTTGGTAACTGCAACTTTAAGGACTGGAGCAGGCAGCCGACAGGTACCTGATTAAGGCAGCCATTTTCAAACAAAGGTCATCCAAGTAGAGACAGCAGTTAACTGCTTGCAGCCAAGGGAGCAGCACCTTCTGGCTCCTTTGTAGTGTGGAACACCCTGCAGGTAAGGGCAGGAGCTAGGGGAAAGGCTTGGAGGCTCCTGGTCCTGGGCATGACCTAAAACTGCACCCTGCTGGGGAAGGAAGGCCTGGTGGGACTGCCAGTGGTGTGGCAACCCCACTCAAATACCAGGACTGCTCACCTCCCTGGTGAAAGGCGGGCAAGGGCACCCTAATAATCCCAGCCCCCACAACACTGTGGGTAAGGGAGCCAAGCACAACTACAGTCACCTAAGCCCCAGGGGGTGCAAAACCCCAGGAAAGGAGTAGGGCCAGATATGGCAGTGCCAACCTGAACCCGCAGGGGTGAAAGACCTTGGTGGCCCCAGGGGGGGGGGTAGTTGTGTAGCCCCAGAGAGGGGGCAGTAGGGAAGGCCCTGACAGGGGTTGAGTAGGGCTGAGGGTCAGCCTGAAGAACAGCCCAAGGGGTTGTGCCGAGTAGGGCTGTGGGATGGCTAGGAGGGTAGCACATGGGCCAACCCCCATGAGATAAAGGTGTAGGGTGTGAGAAGCCCAGTGAGGTGCTAGCGCAGAGTTAGTACTCGGTTTGGTGAATCAGCTGGCCCCTACCCAGGTGAGGGTTGCAGGAGAGGCCCAAAAAACCACGTTGCCACCTGAGGCATGACTCGGATAAGCCTGATGGCCTACAGGGCTACTCAAGGGAGCAGGGCAGAGTGAAGGGGGCACAGTATAGTGTGGCGGGCAAGAGACCCTGTGAGAGAGGGGCGATATGAGTGTGTGAGTGAATGAGACCTGACGTAGGACTAAGTTAGCCCGGCTTTAGGTCGGAAACATAGTGACATACTGGATGCCATCTGCGAGGCATGGGCCACGGTGTAGGGATGATATGGAGCTGTGGCTAGCGCCCCCTGGCATCAGGGCATGTAATGGGCAGCCTCCCGGCATTTACCACCAGTTTATTGTTACAGCAAAGTTATGGCAGGTGAGACTTGGCAGACTGCCCCATAGACAGGTGGGTGGGCTGACTTGAGACTCAGCCCTGAGCTTACCCCCTGTCACATAGGCCATTACTATCTGTAACTTTCTTCCATTATTAAACATATAATAAATACTATTTGTAAAGTGTATTAAAATATTAAACTGATTTTATATCCATTTTTGTTACAAATATTCTTTTCTACAAAATCACTATGCTGTCACCTTGACAAGTTCACTATGCAGAAGAATGATTTCAGCTGAACAACTGATTTTTCTGCAGTGATATTAGAATGTAATATGTTGGGATAAGTAATTTGCACTGTTGAATAAATGCTGTTTCAGTTTTTCTGGAAAAACAATTATCATCCCCTGGCTATTTGACAAAATAGGTTATTGTGTTGAAAGGGGATACGATGCCAGGTCACCAGAAGATAACTGAGGAAGAGAACAAGGTTTCCAGCAGATCTATATTCAGACAAAGTTTTAATTCTGCAGTATCTTGAAACTATTAATATACCCAAAGCTGGACCAGCTCAGTAAGAAAACGTTAATGTATGTTTTTTCAAATAATTAAAATACAACAATTTTACCTCAAAACACATTGCTAGCAGCCCAGCACTCAAAAATAATGGTACAATCCAAATCTAGTGTCAATATTATAGAAAAAATGGCATTAGACAGTAGTTTTTATAACCAAGAATTTTAAAATTACCATATTTACCTGAATACAAGACAAGGTTTTCTTTCTCATTTAAATAGTGGGGGAAGCCCCTTGTCTTGGATTTAATTATGAGGTGGCAGGGCAGCAGGTGACTGCTGCAACTCCAGGTCCAGCTGCAACTCAGGGTCAAGATCAGGGTCAGGATCAGAGCCACAGCTGCTGCCTACCTCCCTACCGCCTCTGTTCTAGACCCCGACCACTTACCTTCACTCCAGCTCCATTGCAACCTAGGGCATACTCCAGCCCCAGCCTGGCCCAGTAACAGCTGATGGTATCAGTTGCAACTCTGTCCAGGCCCTGGAGCCCGAGCAAAGGCTGCAGTGGGAGGTCTGGGGTCAGGAGAGGCAGTGGGGGAAAAAGGACTGTGGGTGGGGAGACAGAGGTAGCAGAAGCTACAGCGGGGCAGATAGCCATGGGGGTCAGGCAGGCATCAGCAAAAGAGGGTACAGAAAAGGGGGAGGCCAAAAATCAAGCTGCTTGACCCCTCCCCCAACTATCTCTCGCACCACCTTCCCTCCTGCCACTCCCTCCCCCACAGCATCAGTGGCAGAGGGAGACAAATTTAAGATGACCCGGCAATAATCAGATTCTATATATGGAAAATTATAACATTTATAATTTTTCCATGTATTTAATCTAATTATTGGGGGGTTATCTTAAATTCAGAGAGTCATCTTGGATTTGGGTAAATATGATATTTTTTCTTACAAGTGACTATCCTAATTAGGTTCTGACACATTTAAAAGCCTTTATTTACTATGGGGGGGAGGGGAAATGGGGAATCAAATCTTGATGTTATGTGAAGAACAAGGTTTTTTTGTAACAGATCTTTTATTGGATCAACTGCATAGTTGGGACAGACTTAAGGCAAACTTTCAAATGCAATGCATTTGACCTGGGGAAGAATACACTGCATTTGAAAGCTTGTATAAGTCTATCCCATCTACACAGCTGGTCCAATAAAAGATACCACCCAAAAGTTTTTGCCTCTCCTATATTCCTGGACCATAGCAGTTACATCACTCCAGCAGTACTCATCTTGAAGTTATACTTTTACCCAGTGGCCCCATTCCAAAAACAATTTTCTACATTGGCTTTAAAAGAGATTTTCCTCCCAACAATAAATATTATCAGAATCTATACCAGAATGTCTGTAAATATGGTCCCTTTCCAAACTAGCCTAACACAAACAGGATGCCACTTCTGTTTCCTGTGAGAGATGAAGTAAGAAATAATACATAGCAAAAGCATTTTTTCTCTGTAATGTGTTTCTTCAGTTTGCATGAATACTGCACTCTTTAAAATTAGTTGAATATATAATCGAAAGAAAAAAACAATTTCTAAGTCAGCATTTACCTGTTATATCTATTGTCGTCTCAATTTTGGGCCCACTTGAACTGGTAAGAAGACTTGATTTTGAATTATTTTCTTCATAGCATTCATCAATTTTGGAACATTCTTTTTCCACATCAAATCTTAAATTAAAACCATGCAAATATATAATAATGCAGCATAACACGATTGCTCCATCAGAAAAAGGATACACTATGTTTCTTATGTAAAGAAAACAAATCAGCTATAAAGAGTGATTTGGTCTGTTTGAACCATCCAAAATAAACAGACTTATATTATACTGTAGGTAAGATAATATAGTATATTGTATCTCCATTTCCTTTCTGTATGCCTTCTTTCATTCCATCCACTATAAATACTCCCAAAAACTTGTCTGTCAAATTATGGTAGTCCAAGCATTAGGGAACATTTAAGTAACTGTTTCTCAAGTCAACCCTGGACTAGATGCAAGAGCAGAGGCAGGCAATTATTTGGGCCCACAGGCCACATAGGCAGTTCTGTGGAGCTGCCATGAGCTGGTCAGCACCACCCCCACAACAGCCTGGAGCTCACGTGCCACCGCTAATAGCACACAGCTCCAACCCCACCTGCCCTGCCTCTCTAGGTAGCCAAGGCAGTGCTGATGCCTCCTTCTCTCTACAACTGCTGCTGGCCCCGGCTCTGCGGTACCAGCAGGGACATGCACGCACAGCCCTAGCCCACCCCACGCCCGCTCAGGACTCAGCCTGGCCAAGTGGACCAGCTTAGGAGTAGACAGAACCCGCCTTGACCCAGCTCACCCTGTGCCTGCTCTGGACTGCCCACCCACGCTGAGCAGCAGCAGCAGCTGGGCAGAAGCTGCTGCTGGGCCCATGGGAAAAGCACCCACTCCACTCGCCACTGTTGGGCCACTCTTGCTGCAGCTGCCCAGAGCCCGTGCCCAGGCTGCCTTGCCACTCCTCTCTGCCACAGTCATTGGGCCACCCAGTGAGGCAGTGGTGGCAGTGCAGAGGACCAGCAGGGAAGCCTGGTTGCAGGCTCTGGGTGGCTGCAGCAAGAAGGAGCTGGTAGTGGTGAAAGGGAAGGGCTGCTTTCCCCACCCCGCTCCCACCCCATGCCGAGCAGGAGCTTCTGCTCAGCCGCTGCTAGTGTTCAGCATCGGCGGGCAAGTCTGGAGCAGGTGCAGGGTGGGCTGCGTCAGGGCTATGTGCATAGGTTCCAGCTGGCCTGCTCCACTGGAATGAGTCTGGAGAGGACGCAGGATGGGCTGGGGTCAGGGCTGTGCACGCAGGTGCCTGCCAGTACTACAGGGCTGGGTCAGTGGCAGTGGCAGTGGCAGTCAGAAGGAGCTTCCACTACCTAAGCTGCCTAGAAAAGTAATCCAGCTGCAGAGCCAGCCCAGGCCTACTGTGTTCCAAGGGGCAGCAGGACTTGCCACAAGCCAGACAGCACCTGGGCCAGGCAGGAGCAAGGGACCTGCCACGGGCTGAACTAAGTCCCTCCATGGGCTGAATTGTGCCCGCAGGCCGTCTTTTGCCCACCTCTGTGCAAGGTGAATTTCTATTAAATTTATTTTAGATGTCATTATTTTACTAAACTACATATAGATTGGAAGTGTTTGGAAGATTGGGACTTTATCCTATAACCCAGCATTTCATAAGCTTTGTGGGTTTATATCCCACCACACCAGGGTTGACTGCTGTCATTCCCCCACTATTCAGTGACTGTTGCCACTTCCCTTCACTACCAGTTATTACCAGTGAAGGGAACTGGTGGTATATAAAGCTCTGATCATCCATGTAAATGTGCACTGGCAGACATCCACTTGCTACAAGGCCCATACTATGAAGTCAATGATCTGGTAGAGCAGCAGAGATTCTTCTCTTTGCTTCCAAGGTACCCAATCACTACAATGATTGACACAGCACAAAAATCTACACGATTCTGTTTAACAAAACCATTCAGGTAAAAATCAAATTGTTAATTTCCTTATTTGTTGTCATGTATCAATATGTCCTTATAAGATCTCATTTTTTAAAAACTTTATCAATGAATCCAACTTATCAAACAACAAATTGTAACATTGAAAGACTTATCCAAGAAGATGTATATGTTAACATCTTAGATTGCTAAAAAAAATGAAATTTGGAACAAATTATTTCTTTTTATGTTTTCTATTCACTTTCTGCTCTACATTTACCTAGAAAAAAAAGACAAGCTATGCAGCTTCATGTTATTCTTCTCAAGTTTTAGTACCACTATGCACTGTTTGCTTTGCAATGCATACATTTTTATTAAAAGCAAGGTTCCCTACACTGTATAATTCCATGAAAATGTAAAATTTGTAAAACAGGTCTTTAAAATAAAATTAAAATAGGAAATTCACTAAAAATGTAAAATAAGAGAGTATTTAACGTACTTGTCCCATTCCCTGTAATCCCGTGGTATATTCTTCTTCTTTCTTTGTTTATTTCCTGAACCTTGATTCTGGAAGAAAACACAAACAGGCTGAAAATTAATTCTTATCCAATTTGCTTTACAGGCAATTTACATTTTTCAACCCATACTTAACCACAGGAGAAATTAACACCATTTGTGATTGGTCTCAGAACAGTGTTTTGAAACATGGTTAGTTATTACTTCTGTTTTAAAGAAAATCTATTAAGTATTGGACATACATTTTTAACAGTCATCAATGGCTCAATGTCTAGTTGGGAGGAAGTATCAAGCAGGGTTCCCCAGGGGTCTGCCCTAGGTCTGGTACTGTTCAACATCATCTTCATTAATTATATGGATGATGGAACTGAGTGTATGCTTAGCATACTGTGGATGACACAAAGTTGGGTGGAGTTTCAGACAATGGAGGGCAGGCCTAGGATCCAGAATGACCTGGATGGATTGGAAAAAGTCTGTATTCAGTCGGATGAGATTCAACAACAAGTGCAAATAGCTGCATTTGGGATAGAATAATTGAACAAATCTAGAACATGAACAAATCTAGACTGGGGAATGTTTGGCTAGACTGCAGCACTAAAGAGAAGGACCTACAGGTTTCATTGGATAAACTGAATGAGCCACCAATGCAGAGTTATTGCATAAAAAGCAAACAGCACACTAGGTTGTATTAACATGAGCGTCACCTGCAAATCAAGGAAGTGGTTCTTCTACCCTATCTGATAGTGATGAAGCCTCATCTGGAATACTGTGTTCAGTCTGGAGCCCCACACTTCAAGAAAGATGTGGACAGACTGGAAAGAATCCAGTGCAATACAACAAAAATGATGAGGGGGCTGGGAAGCAAGACTTATGAGGAAAAACTGAAGGAGCCAGGGTTACTTAGTCTGGAGAAAAAAAGACTGAGGGCAGATTTGATAACAGTCTTCAAATACCTGAAAAGTGATAATAAAGAGAATGGAGATATACTTTTCTCTGTGGCTATATGGCAGGGGTGGGCAATTATTTCAGGCAGAGGGCTGCATGCTGAGTTTTGCCAAGCCATCAAGGGCCGCATGACAGGCAGCCAGGGGCAGATAAATATTAATTTTCTAAATTTTTTTAGGTGCCCTGCAGGCCGGATAGACTGGGCTGGCTGGTCACATCCGGCCCATGGGCCGCATTTTGCCCATCCCTGCTATAGGGGCACAAGCAGGAGCAATGGCTTCACACTGCAGCAGAGTAAGTTTAGATTGGAGATTAGGAAGAACTTTTTGACTGGGAGGTAGATTAAGTTTTGGAACAGACTACATAGAAAAGTTATGGAATGTATATCCCTGAAAATTTTCAAGCGCAGGTTAGACAGACATTTGGCTGGGATTGTCTAGTCAGAGATGAACAGGGGTTGAACTAGACCAAGGGTTGTCTAGACCAAGGGTACTTGAGAAGGATCTAGGGGGTATGTGTGGGTGGGCAGGGACCGAGCACAGTCATGCACCATCCTGTGCTGTTGTGCAGGTGCTGCCCGCCCAGCCAGACACAATGGTGGGGGGACGCTCACTCGCGTTGCCTGCCGCTACTCCGTGTTTAGCCACATGCCACTCCCCCACCCCCGCTCAGTGTCCAGCTACCGGGGTACACTGATCCAAAAAGGTTGAAAACCCCTGAACTAGACAACCACATGAAGTCCTTTCCAGCCCTAATTTCCTTTGATCCTATGATTTCTGCCCATAAGGGTAAGACCTGCATATAGAAGGATCCTTCTGGTCATCAATGAGTGACCAGAAAGCCTGGTCTGTAAAAAATTATCTTGTTAAAAAAAAAAAGAGTGTGGAGTTAAAGAAGCAACTAGCTGTTATTTACAGTATCAGCTAGATGCAATTTTGGTGAGAAACTATGGCCCACAAACAAAATACAAGGTCCCATTCTGCAAACCTGTTCTCAGAAGGGTGTATTGACGCCGAGTACATGGGGGGCTGAGGATGCTGGACCCCCTCAGGAAGAGGGCTATTGGGACCCAAACCCGAGAAAAATAATGGAATATTTCTACATTATTTTATGCTGTAAAAGATGGGTTCAGTTATGTTGAGCGTGCTGGATGTAAGGTGATGTGCTTAAGAATGATAACTGAGGCCCTGAGCTATTTACCGGGGATCCAGGTTTTCCTCTCACTGTGGAAAGATTTAGGTTTTCTCCTTTAAAGGAGAAAAATGCAAGAAACTGGTTTTCCCCTTGCAGGCTGGATGAGTTCCAGTCTGCAAGGAGCTGCCTGGAACTGGGGGGAGTGAGGACGGTGATCGAGGGCAGGGGGCATCATGTGCATATGCACATGTATATGCATATGGCAGGCAAGCAGCAGTGAAGAGCAGCTCCCATAGCTCCCTCCACATAAGTCTATGGGGGGAGTGGGGAAGAGGGCACAGGTGATACATTGGGGCGCGGGGAACAGGCAACATATCGGGGGTCAGGGAGCACAGGCGACAGCACAGAAGGGTGGGGGGACCAACGCAATGGGTTGGGGGGGGACAGGAGGGGTACAGACGACGTGTTGGGTGGGCCACAGGAAACACAGTGGAGAGGGGTAGGGGGAGGCACAGGTAACACAGTAGAGAGGGGAGGGGGACCAAGGTGACGTGGCGGGGGTATGTGACCCCTGAGATTTCTACACCCACAGTGGGGCTTGAGGTGCAGGGCTGCAGTTGGGCCAGACCAGCTCAGGACAAGAGCTGCTTCTGTGGCCCAGCAAGCAGGACATGGAGTGGGAGGGAGCACCACCATGGCGAGGTATGGCAGCAGCATTGGCATGGAGTTGTGCCCCCTTACTGCTGGGTGGGCAGGGGGTGCCTCACCTTGCCAGTCATGGTAGTACTAAACTCCCTCGCGCGCCAGGTCCTACCAGCTGGGCTGTGGAGGCAGCTCCTGCTTGGAGCTGGTTCGGCCCGGCTGCAGCTCCGCACCCTGCTGTAGGCACAGAAATCTTGGAGGGGAGGGAGGGGACATGTCCCCCACCCCCCTCTGTGTCGCCTGTACCCCCTCCCACACCCCACATTGCCTGTGGCCACACCCCCCTTCCCCACACACCCACCCTGTTCC